CGCAAGCACAGACACACACACATGCACGCACGCACGCGCACACACGTTCCTGACCACCTGCGTAAGGAATGGAAGCCATCCAGTGTGCTAGGGGAAGGAGCTAGAGGCGCCCCAGTCTCCTTCCTCCCTGGTTGGCTGTCGGCGGTCAGGCACTGGGTGACCTCCCGAGCACACGCCACTCTACTGTCCAGAGAAAGGGGGCCTTATGCACTGGGCCGCCGATCCCTGGGAGGACCGGTAAGGTTGTCCTGGCCCGGTCCTCTCCTTAGGGTAAGGCTGCCGGGATGGGTGGAAAGGCCGGAACCCCTTCTCGTGGGGTTCTCTTCACCCTTTGTTTGAACTTCCTGAACTCCACAGCAAATAATGAGTCTCTCGAATCCCCACTCTCCTGCGATTCTGTCCCCTCCCCACCCCCCAGCCCCATGTCAGTGAGCTCAGTTAGCCTGAGGAGCAAACAGGCTGAGAGACAGCCCCAGCCCAGGGTGACAGTTCCAGAAAGCTGACCAGATCTCAGCCCCTGGAAACACTACACCTACACTAGCCTCTCGGTGCTCGAAGAGGGGGCTGACTGGGAGGCCAGGGCCCTGGGTTCTAGTCCCAGCTCTGGCCTGGAGATCCTGAGCAACGCCCTGTCCTTTTCCGGGCCTCCATTACCTCGTCTGAACAATGGGCACAAGTAGCCCCACGGAGTGCTGAGTGTTTTCAGGGCAACTGTGTAAAGCACTTGAGTGTTTTCAGGAGGTGGGAGGTCGGAGTCCACCCGCAGGTACCTTGGAGGGAACAACTGGCAGTCTACTGCTTAGAAATCAGCCACGGACAACCTATGGATACAGTTCTACTCGGACACACCCACGGGACCAGGAGTGGGGGTGAAGGAGTCAACCGGACAGCGACTGGGGATACAAAGGGCCTTCTGTGGGTTGGGTCATGTGCATATTCACTTCATGGGTCCATCCAGGCAGTGCATTGAGCCCCTGCCTCATGGGTAGCAGCCCTCAATAACACGGTGACCCCCATTCACAGACCGGGAAACAGGCATAGGAGGCAAGACCATGTGTCCATGGTAACAGAGTCAGCCAGAGGCAGAACAGGGGTTTGCATCCAGTGGTTTGGCCTCAGCGCTCAGAGACCCATTTCCACAGGAGACCAC